TTAATAACCCGTGGCCTTCTGGTAATGCTTAACAAGCTGCTTTCTTCCTAGAAAGCTGTGGACCTCCCACACTAAAGAATGTCATCTGCAACTGGAGTGACTTCATATCTCAGAGTGACCATGGGGAGTCTGGAATTCAGGACACAGCTCATCCTGAATATCCAAAGATAGCTCAGTCAACTCCTGAGAGGAAATCCTGGGCTCAGGCCCCATCAGTGTTGTCTTCTTGGGTAAACTGTGAAGAACTAGGGAGGTCGTCGTGCTGTTTCTTTGTGAAACACTCTCACCCTGAGTTGATCAGAAGCCTCATTGGCTAGACACTTAGCAATGAAGAAAGAATAAAATCTTCTCTCAGTGGCATGGCCTGATTGGAAATATTTTTACAATCATTTTCTCATTCCGATATGAATCTTTTATGTTCCTGTGGTTTTATAGCCAGACATGAGAGCAGCAGTCTTTTGTGGGGAGGGAAGGGTGGGGATCCCTAGCTAGCACAGATATTCTTCTGCTATGCCTCAGACATGGGATGCTAGAATTCCAGGTTTGTTCATCAAAGAGGATTTGAAATTTCTAGAAAATGGGGAAAATAGACTTTTGTAGAAACAGAGAACGTTGTTAAAGAGTCATGACTCTTATGCCAACAAAGATATTGGCTCTTTTCAATTAAAACAAAACCAGCAAACAAGCCCAGAGAAAGCAGGTGGCTGATGGCTGCTTATTTCTGAGGAGCTGCCTGGTGCTCAAAATGACAAGAGAGTAAAAGTCAACGTGGTCTTTTCTAACATGAGGACAGACTATGCAAACTCCTCTCTCTGTGTATTGGTGATTAAGATTATGTCCTTATTTAGTGTGTGGTCCAGTTTAGAATATAGAACACCTGCCTTGTCACCCACAGAACACCACAAAGGATGAAATTATATTCCTGTGCAAATAAGACGTGGGAATTTTGGAAATTTTTTAAAAATTCCTGGATAGTATGAACTTGAGGGTATGAGAGATCAGTTCAAATAATGCAGGGTATATCAAATTGCTACTTAGAACTCACTTCCAGCTAGGAATGTGTACATTTGTATCAGTGTTTTGAATTTTAATGAAGGATTGGGAAGGTAAATGTGGGAGAGAAAGGGGGTAACAGCAGAGAACATTCCAAAATAGGCAAGATTGGGTAGCAGAACATTGACAGTGGTTTCTGAATGCTAAGATCGTGGGTGAGGTATTTTTTCTTGGATCTGTGCAAAGTAGAGTAAATTCCTTGCTCACTTCCTTGGGCTTTTGTTTTTTCTCTGGGAAGGTAAGAAAATAAAATGAGGTATCTTGCTCATTTTTAGTTGCTGTCCAACCTCCTGATGTTTTTAAACTTTTTATTTTGAGATAATTAGACATTAGCATGGAGTTACAGAAAATAATATTGAGATCCCATGTCTTTTGTTCAGCCCCCTCACCCCCACCACCATGGTAACGTCTTAACAAACCTATAGTACAAGGTCACAACCAAAGTCTTGACATTGATACAATCAAGGTACAGAACATTTCCATCACCACAAGGATACTTTGTTGTCCTTTTACAACCACACTCACTTCCCTCAGCCCTCACTCCTCCTTAACCCCTGGCCTTAATCTGTGTTCCATTTCTGTAGATTTCTCATTTTAAGAATGTTAGATAAATGGAAACACAGTATATAGTCTTTTGGAATTGGCTTTTTTCACTCAGCATAATTCTCTGGAGATTCATCCAGGTTGTTGCTTGTATGATAATTGGTTCCTTTTTACTGCTGAGTAGTATTCCATAGTATGAATGTACATACCACAGTTCATTTAACCATGAACCTGTTGAAGGACATCTGGGCTGTTTCCAGTTTTTGGTTACTATGAATAAAACTTCTATAAACATAAGTTTTTCTTTTTCTGGAATAAATGCCCAAGAGTACAATTGCTGGATTGATGGTAGTTGCATGTTTAGTTTTTAAAGAAGCTATTAAACTGTTTTCCAGAGTAGCTGTACCATTTTACATTCTCTCAAGCAACATGAGTGATCTCATTTCTTCAAATCCTCACCAGCATTTTGTATTGTCACTATTTTTTATTCCAGCCATTCTGATAGGTGTAAAATGATGTCCCATAGTAGTTTTAATTTTCCTTTACCTGATTGCTAATGATGTTAAATATCATTACATGTGCTTATTTGTTGTCTATGTCCTCTTCAGTTAAACACTTATTCATGTATTTTGCTCATTTTCCAATTGAATTGGGTTTTTACTGTTGTTTTGAGAATTCTTTATGTATTCTACATACTAGTTCTTTGTCAGATATGTGGTTTGCAAATATTTCCTCCTAGTTTATATCTTGTTTTATATCTGCTTCACATGGGCAAACTTTTTAATTTTGAAGTGCCATTTGTCAAATTTGTTAAATTTGAAGTCCAACTTAGCAAGGTTACCCTTTTACAGATTGTGTTTTTGGTGTCAAGGCTAAACAGTTTGACAGGCCCTAGATCCCAAAGATTTTCTCCTGCTTTTTTTTTCCCCCTGAAAGTTTCATAGTTTTACATTTATGCCTTGATCCATTTTATATGATTTTTATATCAAGTGTGAGACTTTCAGGTGATAACCACTCTACTCCTGCCAAACACCACAGGAAAAAACTATTGCAAAACTATAGCAAAGGCTGAGTGGGGAGGCTAGACTTCCACTCTGGAAAGGCTGTGCCTAAGCTGAGCACTTACTGTATGCCAAGTCCTGGATTTGCGATGGGAGTGGAGCAAAAGCTTCCCAGGTGTTTCTAATCTATGTTAAAGGACTGGCTTCTAAGGTGGCATGGTGTGGATGAAAGAGAGCAGATACTAGAGTCCATCAGACTCAATTAAAATTTGTCTCTTTCTAACCGTATGATATTGGGCAAATTGCTTTACTACTCTAGGCCTCTGTTTCCTCATTTCTAATAGGGTGGTTTTGAGGATTAAATTAGAAAAAATATCTGAAATGACTGGCACATAGGATATTCATAAGTGATCTCATTCTTCAAACTGATCCATTGAAGCTGCTGAAAAACTAGCAGTGAGCTGTTGTCGGAAAACAGAAAAAGGCCAATTGTATATAGACAATCCTAAATTTTCTAAGGACTAATTATTTGGTTTATAGATGAAATAGGAAACTTATGCTCCTTCCTAGTTTTGTGGCCAATAATTTACATTGTAACATACTTACTGGGTACTGGCTATATAAAGAAGGCAAATGAAAATTTTGTTCTCATTCACTTAAAATTTCTGGAAGATTGGAGAACTTAAGAATAAAAACTGACATGGATGGGAATCAGTATTCTTTAATCTGATTTTTAGTTTTATCAACTGTTATTAAATTATGAAGACAGATGAAATACCCATACAATTAAATTCTTCTATAAAATACGTAAAGAAATTCTACCTGTTCTATCTGAAAGAAAAAGTTAAAATTGTAGTCATTTTACCTGAGTTCATTCTTGAAACCATTCATGCTAAATTTTCTGATTTTTTATTTTATTTTATTTTAATTAGTTTTCTAATTTTTTTAAAACAAACCAAAGTTTATTAATTTCTTTTGAGCTCCCTCATTGAATAGTATAACATTAACTGTTCAACTGTCACCTTTACTTTTCTCAATACTTACTATTTCGCTTTGTGCTTTCATTTTTTACCATTTCCTTATAGAAAAAAATGTAAAATGACACCCCCCCCCGCTTTTTTTTCTTAAATTCTCCTCCCAGAGACATCTCCAGAACTATATCTGGGATTAATCACATAGTGTTGAATCTGCCACGAATATTTTATTTTAAACAAATGATTTTAAATCAGGTAAGTACCCAAAGGCATTTTTTAAAAAAATGATTACATACAGGAAACACAGAAGAGTAATGTGCAAGGTGAAGGCTTAAGTGGAAGGTGGGAAGGGGTCATTTGTGATTTGTTTCTCGGGAAGGTGGAGAAGACAGTTAACATGTACACATGTGTAAATCCTGTTAAGCCCCCTCCGGTTCAGCCACAACCAGCATCCCTAGTAACTGTCCATTCCCCCCAACATTGGACCCTCAAAGCCCAGAACTCAGATGCATTTCTCAGCCTCCAGAACTGGATTTGCCCCCTGTCATTTACTGCCGTGGTTTATCATTTAGCCAGAGCATGTTTTGAAGAGAAGTAGCTAATTCATATAAACAAAGTAAATTAGTGCTGGTTGGTATGTATATTTTGAAGTTTGATCCTGGCATGTTTATGATACTTATCTGGTCAAAATTATACAAAAACCTTTTGACTATGATAAACCTGTGTGAATGCTAGATGTAAAACCTGCAACCTACAAATTAACCCGTGTTTGGGAAGTCAGTACTTTAATTGATGTCGGTATTTGGTACTCCACTAGAGCGCTGTTTCCTGGGGTTATCTGCTAACACATGATTCTCATCACATCAGATTATTGTGGGGGAGAGGTAAAAAAAAAAAAATGATTTCCTTAGGACTGACATTATATACTAAATTTTCACAAATTACTAAGTCAACCTAAGGATTGATCTAATAATATAGAGAGCATAATTCTATTTTCTGATTAACTAAATCACTCTCATATGGTAAAATCAACTGACTTTGGGGCCGGCCCGGTGCCGCACTGCTACAGTGCGCCGCTTGGGAAGTGTGGCGGCGCTCCCGCCGAGGGTTCGGATCACACATACAGACCGGTTCCCGCTCACTGGCTGAGCGAGGCGTGGGAGCAACACCGAGGGTTGCGATCCCGTTGCCGGTCCCGGTCCGGTCCGGGCGCAACACTGAGGGTTGCGATCCGTTGCCGGACACGAAAAAAAGACAAAAAGGAAAAAAAAAATCAACTGACTTTGGATATTTTGCATGTGTTTTTTCTTTAATTTCCTTTTGCATTGCTGGCCACACCTAATGAGCTAAATTATAACTCTTTGCTCCTGTGTTTTCACAATATTAAATGCTGGGGGTTTTTTTTTTCTTTCCATTTTTACTACCCTAGTGTCCCATAGCCCAGAGGAACAGTTCATCTCGACAGCCAGGGAGAGAGCCTGGATGCTCAAGGTAAGGTTTAAATATAAACTATGTTGTATGCCTCCCTGTTTACAGATAAATTGAAGTGAGTAATATTACTAGCTTTGTAACAAGTTTATTTTCAAAATTCCATTATATAATTAAAGCCAATATTTGCATAAATATGCTCCTTTAAAATATTGTTTTTCAAAATGTAGAGTATTTCCCAAGTGTACTAAGGGCTAATTAACTGCTGTTAGCAATTTCTCTAAAAATGCTCAAGCCACTTAAAATTTAATTTTGGAGTTCTTACTAGTGATAAATAGAGGAAGAGCATATCAAGATATGGACAGAATGACCTCATGACATTTCTAGTTATTTGTGGATAAATTATTTCTATTTGGTATTGTTAAAAATCAAGGCACCTGCTCTGTTGACCTTACAATAGAGAGATGGGTATCTTGTGACAAAGATGAGACCTGAAAAGCCTTATTTTTTCAGTTTGGGATTTGTCTCTGAGACACAATCATTTTGACCTATTTCTCACTGGTAGTCTGAGTATGTCTAATAATGCCTTCAAGATTCACCTCCAGGCACACCCTAGAACAAAGGAACAATTAACTGAAATTCCACCAGATGGCAATATTTGGAAAGCCATTCAGAGAGGTTTCAGAGCTATGAGCTATTATTGTTCACACAGAGAACAGTCTCACAAACTATAACATCCGAGGTGCTCTAAACACCTTTTGTTTTACTCCTTTTCCCCCACAGCATCAAAATTTTATACTATTAAAAAAAAAAAAGGTGTGTGAGAGTGTGTGTTTTCTTTTTTTTATATTCTGGAATGATAAAATTAGAAACCTCATTCTTAAATAATAATTCTCCCCAAGTTTTGGTGAGTATCAAAAGCTCAAATCAATGGGTAAAATACCATATTTGTTTTGGGGTCTCATAGTGATAAATGCTATGGGTGATGGATTATTTTTAATAAATGGTTTGAGAAGAGAAACATAAAATTCTTCTAAAGAAGGGTAGCATGTTACAAACTTTCCTTGATATTAAACAAGTGAAATTCAGGTACAAAACTCTTATTTGTATTAATTTGGAATAATTGAGGTTTATTTAAATGGGATGAGTTCACTTTTCTCCTTTGCTCTAATGAGAGTAGAGATATCGTGCCCTGAGAGGTGTTCCAACAGGTGGATTCTTCAGGGTCCAGAGCGGGCTCTAGGGTGGAGTTAGGACAGACGACAGTGGAAAGGCATCTGAGGGCAGTAGAAACAGGAATAATGAAGAACAGAAGTTGCCTAAGCTTTCTGTGTACATATCAAAGCAGTCCCTGAACAGGCACTGAGTGACCTTGGGAAACTGATCTTGTACTACTTGCCCTTCTGGTAGGGGGCCCATATGTCTGGCCTGTCTGGGACAGTCCTGATTTACTTCTGTTGTCCTTGACTATAGTCTAGTTAGCACTCACTTTTGCTCTCAGTTTGTATGATAAATTATGTGATCACCCTATCTTCCAGGCTGGTATGTTTGAAGAAAAAGGTACTAGAAAAAGGTGGCCCATTACCTAAGGAGAGTGTCTCTTCATAAATCTCTTTATATCTGGAGCTATAGGACAAATGTTTCTTTTTCTGTAAAGAGCCAGATAGTATATTCTGCCTTGCAGGCCATACAGTCTCTGTCACAACTGTTCAATTTGTTTTAATGTAAAAACAGCCACAGACAAAATATAAATGAATGGGCTTGGCTGTGTTCAATAAAACTTTACTTACAAAAATAGGCAGTGGCTGCATTTGACCGGCAGGCTACGGTTTGCAGACCCCTATTAGACAATGGATGGTAAGAGGGTAGGAGATGGTGGAGAATCAAGAAGACAGACATCATTAATTCCTCTCCCTTCTTTTCATAACCCTTCTGGGTAGCTGCCTCTTTTATATAACCCTCTCAGCATGTAGTATTAAGTTTCCTTGAGTGAGTAATGCCATCTCAATTTGCCAAGTCTGGCTGCTTGCTTCCCATCCAAATCTGTTTATGTACCATGCACAACGTGCCTATTCTTTATACTTCATGACATATAATTGCATCCCTATGAATGTGTCACCTGAGTCCTAGAGTTAAATATTAAAGCAATAGCTAGTTAGTAGGCAATTTAATTTTATGCTTTGGTCTTCACTAAATAACTGTCTATGGAAAATATAACCAGATTAAAAGAAAGTTAATGTTGACTCTACCAAACTTTTTATTATAAAAAATAATATAAATTTAAAGGAAACTTTGGAGGAAAAAACCACCCATAACAACACCATTCCAAAATGACTATTTTTCTATTTTGCATATTGGCTTTGCCCACAAGCAGTCCTGTTTTTCCACAGTATATATTGTAATGCCTGTGAACTTTGTATTTTAATTAGCATTAGTCACAAGCATCTTTCACAGGTCAACAGAACTATCACTAGAATACATAATAAAAACATTATGTTATATCAATGTGCTATAATATATACTTTAATTCTTACTATTTTCCAATTTTTCACTAAAATTTAGTATAGCATTTTTTTAATATGGACTTTGTTGTTGTTTTGTGTCTGTTCATCAATTAGTTTTGTGTCTGTTCATCTATTTCCTAAGGACAAAATCCCAGTACGGAGATGATTAGGATATGCCCATTTTTATGACTTTTAATCTAGTTTACTATATTTTTTTCTCAAAAGGTTTGGAATAATTTGCAAACATTTTCAGTTTGAGGGTACTAGTTTCACCACAACTTAATCGGAAAAAGCATTAAATTTATTCAATAACATTTATTGAATATCTGCTATCTGTAAAGCACTGTGCTACTGCTTTTAGGATGGGTGGTTCAAAAGGTTTGGAATAATTTGCAAACATTTTCAGTTTGAGGGTACTAGTTTCACCACAACTTAATCGGAAAAAGCATTAAATTTATTCAGTAACATTTATTGAATATCTGCTATCTGTAAAGCACTGTGCTACTGCTTTTAGGATGGGTGGTATATGAACGATGTGCTCATTCCACATTTATTGTGTACCTACTATGAGCTAGGTGTTGTAGAGTTTCAGTGGTAAGCAAGAGATAGCTTCTGTCTCAGAGAGTTTGACTTTACTGGGGAGCTAAGATATATACATAACTATAATAAAATATGGAAAATGAGATGCACATAATAAAGTATGGAAAATGAGGTAGGAGAAATAGTAAAAATATTATGGAAATTTGGGGAGAGGGTAGGTAGAGATGAGCAGAGCCATAAGGGTTAGATGGTTTTGGATACTCAGGGATGGTGAGATTTGCCATTCATTTCATAAACTTTTATTGATTGCCAACTGTGTACTAAGTTCTATGCTAAAAGCTAGGGATACAGAGCTGAACAAGACATCTCTTAGAACTGACTGTCTAGTGGAGTAGAGAGTCTTTCACAAATCTTAAATGTGATAAGTAGGATAGATTGTCTGGCAGAGTATGCATGGGGTAGGGATGAAGTAGGAGGCTCCTTTGGAATGAAGCTTTTTCATGGATCCTCTTTTTGTACAATCTTCGTCATCAGATGTTGTGTCAGAATCTGTGGCAGATCTGCTTCTGGAAGTTTGAAGGTTATTGTAGTTGCACTGGTACTGGCAAACATTCCAGTTAAAGTTGGCTTGCATTGATAGCCTCCCAGGGAGAACATTAACTGAGAATGCACAGAGCCAGGCCTGGGATCTGCAAAACCTACATGCTGGCCCTCACCAACTGATGACTGAAGCAGATTTCTAAGGATTGTAGGGTTTCCTTTGTGTTTTTTTTATAAAAGAGCTGGAAGGAACCACAGTGATGATCTAATCCAACTCGCTCAATTTACAGGCAACCATTCTTAGGTGAGGAGAGTTGAGAAGAGAGACTTGCCGAGGGTCAGACAGTTCGTGGCATCACCACAGCACCCAAGCCTGGCTTCTGATTCTCATTCTGTGCTCACTGCTTTAACATTCCCCTGCCTCATCTAGGCCATAGGGGTAAGAAGAACTAAGAAGATGATTAGCCAAAGCATTCCTTGTGCACATAAAAGCACTAACGTGTATTTTACCCGTCTCATAGCACAGCAACATGTTTTTTATTTCCAATTTTCAATTAAAATTTTAATTTAAATAGTAATGAATCAGTGAGTGGTAGAAAGAGAGGGAAACTTTGAACACATTCTTTATCTGCTACTTACCTCCTTCAGGACCTGGCAAATAGCTTCACCTCGCCGAGTCTCCTCTCCTCTTCAAAGCAGAGACATGCACATCTTGAGTTTGTGGTGAGAAAAACAAGAGGCAACATAAGTGTGGGGTATATCATGGACACTCAGAAAATATCTCGTTTGTTTCCCCTTCACTGCTAGGGCAGAGTTCTTCACAGGTTTCCTTTTGTTTATTAATGAGGTTACCTTATAAGACTAGTGAAAATTAAATGATGGAAAAGGAGTACATTTATAAGCCTATCTGGGGCAGAGCTTAACATTCTCATTTTTGAACTTCACTTTACTGTGCTTAAGTAGAGATTTAGAGGTTTTTATTCATGGTTCCTCTTTTCTTTGTAATTTACTTAAAATGATTTGTCAAATAAATATAGAAAGGTGGGTGATTATGTAAAGAAAACATGGCTAAATATTAGCAACTGCTGAATATAGCTGGTGGGTATGAGTGTACGTTATACTATTATAGAAATTTTTCTACTTTTCTGGATGTTTGAAATTCCCCAGGCCAAATTCTTTTGAAGAATTATGCATTAAATAGTAATTAATATTATACTGTGGCTCTATCACTGTGTTGGGGGCAGAGGACACATGTTGGGTGAGACAGTCAGAGTCTTGGGCCTCATGGAGCCCTGGTCCACTGTAGGAAATGCTAATGAAACAGGCAGTTCTATTACAGGATGCTGTGGGAGGCTTAGCAGTGACAGCTAAGCCAGGGCTGGTGCAGGGAGCTCAGACAAGTCTTCCAAGTTCAGTGGCATCTAATCGGAGACCTGAAGGAAAAAGAGATATTCAGGTAGGTGTTGGGGAGAGGGGGAC